GCGCGGCGGGGTCGCGGCGGCGGCGGCTGGTGCGGCGGCGGTGGCGGCGGTGGAGGAGCTCATTGACGACGACGACTTTGAGGAGTACGGCTCAGATCGCCCCCCGCGCCGCCAGGGCTCCGGCGTGTCCCGCGGCGGCGCCGGCGGCCCCGGCGGGGCGGGCGCTCGCGGGCTGGGGGAGCGGCGCGGCAGCGGGGCGCCCAGCGGCCTGCAGAGCAGCGGCGGCGGCGCCGGGGGCGGCGGGAGCGTTGTAGGTGGGGCAGGCGCGCCGGGCGCGGGCCTCGCCTCGGTGCTGGCGGCGCTGCAGCAGCAGTATGGCGGACAGATTCCTTCTGAGGTGGTGCAACACCTCATGTTGCAGCAGGTCGCCGCACGCCAGCACCAGCATCAGCAGCAGCAGCAGCAGCAGCAGCAGCAGCAGCTTGGCGGCGGGGCGCCTGCGCTCGCGGTGCACCCAGCCCTGGCAGCGGTGCAGCAGGCAGCGGCCGCGGGTCGGCCCGGCAGCGGCGATGGTGGGCATGGGCTCAGCGTAGCGCGCACACAGAGCATTGGCGCGCATCAGGCCGCGCTGGCGCAGGCGGCTGCCGCCGTGCAGGCGCAACAGCAGCAGCAAGTGCAGCCGCAGCAGCTGCTACTGCTGCACCAGCAGCTGGCTCAGGCGGGGCTGCAGTTGCCATTGCAGCAGTTGCAACAGCTAGCGCCGCAGCAGCTGCAGCTGCTGCAGATGCAGGTGCAACAGCAGCAGCAACAACAGCGCGTGTCTGCGGCGGCGACAGCAGCCCAGCAATTGCAGCAACAGGTGGCTGCTGCACAGCAGCAACAGCAGCAGCAACAGCAGCAGCAACAGCAGCAGGCTGCACAGCAGCATCAGCAGCAGCAGCAGCAGCAACATCAGCAGCAGCAGCAGGCCGCTGCAGCGGCGCAGATGCAGCAGCTGATCATGCAGCAGCACCAGCAGCGCGTCCTGGCCGCGCAGCAGCAGCAGCAGAAGCAGCAGCAGCAGGCGCAGGCGCAGGCCCAGCAGCAGCTCAGCTTGCAGCAGCAGATCCAGGCGCTCCAGCTGCAGCAGGCGCAGGCGCAGGCGCAGGCACAGACGAGTGCCACATCGGCCGCGCAGCAGCTGGCGATGATGATGGCGTCTGGCGCCGCCAGCGCGCCCCAGCAGCACTCGGCCCTGAGCGCCACGCAGGTGCTCCCCCCGCCGTCCTCCCTGTCCCTCGCCTCCTCTCTCTCCCTCGGGGGCGGCGGCGGCGGCAGTGCCGGCATGCAGCAGCTGCCATCACTCACGCTGCAGCAGATGCAGCTCGCGCAGCCCGGGCTGCCGGGCATCTCAGCGGCGTCGGCTGCGCCCGCGACGCTGGTGCATGGAGCTGCTGCAGCTGTAGGCGGCAGCAGTGGCACGGGGATGTCGGGGATGACGGCGATGCTCCAGGCGGCTCTGGGTAACCTGCCGTCTCTGCAGGCGCAGCTGCTGGGCGCTGGCTCCGGCCTGGGTACGGGCTTGAGCGCGAGCGGCAGCCTCACGCCGACGGCCAGCGCGGCGGCCTCAGATGCGCTCGCTGCAGCGGGCGGAAGCGGGTCTGTGGCGAGCGGTGGCGGCGGCGGCGACGGGGGCGGGGGCGGTGGTGGTGGTGATGGCGGTGTTGGCGGCGGCGGGGCAGCAGAGGGCGGCGGTAGCACCGGCGGCGCGAGCGCGGGCGGGGGTGCGGACGGGGCGGCTAGCGCGGGAGACGGGGTTGCGGGAGAAGGCGCGGCCTGAATCCTTGCATGCATGTGATGCGGCCATCATCCGTCATATTGCTTGTGTAAGCTTGTTTTTTCCTGAGCTTGTTTGCATTGTGGCGCAGCTCACCATGTGCCGCCCCCCAGCATCGTGCTTTGGGCTTGTCGTCTCAGCAGCAGCAGGAGCAGCGGCAGCGGCAGCAGCAGCAGCACTAGCAGCAGCAGTCTGCCCAGCATGGGGTGCGAAACTGGAGGGCAGAGCGGGCTGAGGGGCAGTTTTGGCTGGCCTTAGGTGCAAGGTGCATTTCCTTCGGCCCACCCCGAAGCTCCCTGTGCAGGAGCCCGATTATTTGTTTCATGTTGCATTACAAAGCAGGCAAGATGGGCCTGCCGGGCGCCCTCGGCTGCCGAGCTGCTTAACTGCAGCTGCCTGCTACTGCTCTGCTTGCGAGTCCGCGGCGATCACTAGCGGCCGCATCGAATCCGTCAGCTCTGCCCGCCGCCGCTGCTGCTGGTGCTGCTGCTGCTGCCCCCGTCCCTCCCCCGGCCCCGACGCAGCCTTGCCGGCCAGCTCGCCGTTGCCACCGCCGCCGCCGCCGCTGCCGTCTCGCCGCTGCGCCCGCTCCTGCTTCTGCCGCGCCTGAGCGTCCGCGTCCGCCAGCCACTGCAGGAGCCCCTCGTACACGGTCAGCGTTATCGCCGACTGCGGCATCACGCGCAGCAGGTTGGGGGCGAGCCCCTTGTAAAAGCCGCGCAGGCCCTCGCGCTGCCACGTCAGTGACACCGCCTCGCCGGTGGTACGGTACACCAGCGCGCGACCGGCCTCAAAGCGCTGCTGCAGCCGGGAGCGCACGACCTGCGGCGAATGTGTGGGGCAGGGGGGGCCCAGCGGCCGGGCTGAGAGAAGACTCCAGGGTGGGTGGCGGTGGACCAAGCGCGCTGTGGCCTTCGCTGATCGCCGTCCGTGCGCTGAGTTCCTGGCAATACAGCGCGAAAGACCTCCGTTGGAAATTGCAGCCCGCCCGCGCCCAGCCAGCAACAGCCCCACCATTCACAAAGACTGCCAACAACACACAGGCCAGTGCAACAGCGCCGCGCTTCCCCCCAACAGGAAACCTCTCCCTGCCCTCTCAATTGAGCCCCGCCACCCCTCCCCTTCAGGGCAGCCCGAGGTCGCAAGGCTAGGGCTCGGAATCGACGCGCCTGAACACCCCCCCCTCTTTCACCTGAGTGGGGTACGTCGACACCGCCGCACTCAGCTTGCTGAGGGCCCCGTACAGCGAAACCTCCAGCGAGCTCAGCTGCCGCACCGCCCCCTGCCCCTCCGCCCCCCCGCCGCTCCCCTCGCCGCCGGGCGGCCCCCCGTCGTACGCCTGCAGCTGCGGCCGCCAGCCGGACCAGTGCCACTGCGTGGTGGCCGCGAGCTGCTTGAGCTCCTCGTAGACAGCAAACTGGATGGCGCCGTGGCTGGTCTGCAGCAGCAGGGACGGCCCTATGCCCTTGTAGTAGCCCCTCACGCCCTCCTCACGCCAGATGCGCGCCAGCGCGTCCGCCAGGCCCTTGTAAGGGACGATGCCCGCCGTAGGCGCCGTGCGCTGCAGCGCCATGCGCGTCTTGACCAGCCAGATGGGGTTGGTCACGAGGCACACCTGGGGTGACGAGGGGCAGGCAGGCGGGCGGGCAGCACGGGCGAGCGGCGCATCACGCCGCAGCGCAGCCTGACGTGCGCCCCTCACCAAACGGCGGCGCCAAGGGCGCCGGCGCGCCCCAGCGCCAGGGCTCCCGGCCGCGCCGCTCGACGCGGCCGTGGTGACCCGGCGTACGCGCCGGCCGCGCACGCCCACGCGCCCCGCACCATCGCGCCGGCCTGCGCGGCGCTGAGCAGGTTCCATCCCGCCGCCAGCCGCTCCGTCTTCTGCCAGCCCCTGTGCCACGCCTTGACATGTTCGTAGAGGTACAGGTAGGCGCCCCAGGACACGCCAGACCCAACAAGCGCAGGTGCCAGGCCTGGGAGACGGGGTTTGCATCAAGTCTGGCGCTTGAAGGTGCGCGCGGGCGTGCGTTCGTGCAAGCATGGATGTGTGTGTGGAGGGGCGGCACGCATACAAGCCAGTGGTGGGGGTGGGGGCGAAGGGAACCTCACCTGGGGTGCCTGTTGGCCTGCAGGGTCGCGTTTCGAGCCGCGGCTGAGGCCGCGTGTGCGGGAACCATAGCTGCTACTGCTGCCGCCACCGCCGCTGGGCCAGGATGCCGCCATTCGAGCGTAATGCAACCCCTCGTCAAGGACCCCCCCCCCCGGGACAGCCGGCCCAGGGGCGGTCGAGGGCACGCACCCGAGTAGAGCGCTTTCCAGCCCTCCTGGCGCAGGATGGTGGACACGGCGTGGGTGGCGCCGCGGTAGCTGGGGAGGGCCCCTTGCACGCCATCCTGGACTGTCGGGGTGTTTGGCAGCGCGTTCGAGGGGAGGGGGGGGGCATTCGGTCGAGGGCCTGACAAGGGCAGTCCACTTGGCAGCAGCAGCAGGTCGGACGACGGCCGAAGAGAATGTGCGGCCGCTGCAACACGCGAGCTTGCCGCAGCTGCCGGGCCACGACCGGCGGCCGCGTCGCCGCGCGAGGCTGCGCGAATCGGTCCCGCTACGGCGGCGCGCCGCACGCTGCCGCACCGCCTTGGTCACAGGGCCGCGCGGCTTCGCCCGCAGTGGCAGCGCGGCGCTCTCACCCTGGAGTCGGGTCTTGATTACGTCAAACGGGTGCAGCAGCAGCACTGCCGAGCTTCCCGCTATCGCACCGGCCACCATGTGCTGCCTGCGCGGTGCGCCGCGGGGCAAGGGCGGCAGGGAGGGGGCCGAGCTGTAAGCTCGTCACCAGCCTACAGAAAGAACCGATTGCGGGCACGCACGGCGGGGCAGAGCGGAGCTGGGCCTGGAGTCTGCTGTAGCTGCCATACTTCAGCGTACGCAATGCAACTCTGGTTTTGGCGGTGCGAGGGCTTGCACGCGCACCAATTTTGCTGCTGCGCCTTGTGCGGCGGCGCTCCATGTTGTTTGTTCTCCTCCGCGCGCTTTGTCCCCATGCCGGCGCAACGGCTATCGCGCTGGAAAAGCTTTATAAGCCTGTTCCCGATGCGTACGACGGCGTATGACTTGCAAGTGTGTGATTGGCTCGACTGACACACAGCGTGGATGCCAGGAACGGCATGCAGCGTTGCGGATGCGTTTCTGGGTGTGTTAAGAGTTATGAGAGCGGGTCCATTGGCAGCACAGCAACTCAGTGGGTTTGCATCGATGGCAACACGTCACCCGCCGCATGGCTGGTCACATTGCGATGCTGTGCGGCCAGGCGGAGCCCGTGCATAAAACACAGCACCAGTGCACTGCAGATACTAGCAGGCTTGTCATAAATCATACCATCAGCCCTGGACACTTGCCATGCAGCAAGTCTTGCGGTCCGACCGCTCGACCAATCACCTTGACTGCCACTTGACTGGGTGCCAGCCCAGTCAGGTGGGCCCGATAGAGCCCGTGCCACTGGCAATTAAAAAACACTGTACACACCTTGAGCGATACAAATTGAGCTTGTGAGGGCGTTGTGGCGAAGTGTGCGCCCTCTAAACCACACGTATCGCCTCAAGCAAGAGACGCGCAAGGCGATCCTGCTGCGTGCCGCCCCCACTGATGCGGCTCGCAGGTCGCTGTGTGCGCGCTCGGCTGCTGTTGCCTTCATTGCATTATTAATAGCAAGTCCAGCGTGCAAGTGTGCCAGCCCCCTTGACACCAGAGCTTGACAGCGGGTAGCTGCCGGTGAATGCCAGGCAGATCTGCGGTGCATAATTGCAGCGCAGGAGTTGAAGAGGCAAGTAGGAAATCCGACCTCCTACAGTACCTGTCTATAATCATGCGGCAATCAATTTGACAAGCTAAATGACGCATGCATAATCATTCTGTGTGTGATCAATCACAAGAATGCTGAGAAGAGTGAAAGGTAAGGGAGGAACTTGTTCAAAGCAATGACAGCGAGCACGCTGAGAATGTTATGATCAGCATCTTGTAGTCGTGCCCGGCCAATGCCGTGAGCACCAGGGATAGGCAGCAGTACTGTACGTGCGTGCGGCAAACAAACGTCAAACCAGTGATTGGGGTGACATTGGCATTGTAATCGTGGGGGCTTCTATCGCACACACCCACCAGCTAGCCAAGTGCTGGACAACCATCTGGTATTAATAGCAATATCAACAAACTATTGAGGGTGCAATCCTGATAGGTATAGATCTGAACCAGAACTTGATGCAGTCTTTCCGTGAACAACGGCAGGACTGAGTGCCACTTTTGTTGTGCCGGCACGACTGGAATTCGATGTTATTTAAATGTCAGCAACTGTATTGCGCGCTTGCAAATACGCTTGGAGGTCTGCCCACATTCAGTTTCATATTCTCCTGGTGTAGACTCTTCCGGTAAGACTTGTCCGTGTGCTTCTAGGGGGGGTCCTTGGCTAGCCACAAGCAGCACGCACTCGCGAGAGCTTTGTTGGTGCTATGCTTCCGGAATTATTACCGTACGCCCGTCTGCACATTATGATGATAAGTGCCCAGCTGGTACCCTGACGACGTGTTTTGCGACGTGTTGAATTGTCTGACCACAGCAGCAGGCCCGCAAACACGCGGCCAGGTGCTTGTTCCCACAACACTGCTATTCCGGACAGCCCGAAGTCCCAGGACAGGCGCGTGCGGGTACATATTATGCAAAATCAATCCATTTGTCCCGGATTTATGAAGCCATTGACAACCAAGCCGCCCTTGTGATCCGTGCATCAGTGCAACCCGCTCGTCAGCGCAGTTGACGTGCAGCAACGATGAGCGCAATTATATTTGAAATGAATACAAAGCGACCACTTTCATGGTAAAGCATCGCCGTTGCCGTTGCCGATTCGCAGCAGCTTCCCCAACCTTTGCTTGATGCTGCTCAAACGCAATTGCGTCGGTGCGCCTCGCCCCTTTTGAAGTGCTTGCCGCAGCTCGGATCCTCCGGCTGCTACACTCAACTTCTATCTTTCCTGCAGGATACACACAAGCCAGGTGCGAGGACGGCTGCACCCTGAGGCGGCTGTGCGCTGCACGCATGCAACACTTGCTGGTTGGGATATGGGGGAAGGCGCACTATATATTCGGCACGATCAGCGCGGCCGTCGGCCGCTGATGGCAAATTAGCGGGGCATGGAAGGTCCTGGCTGCGCGGCGATGGCTGCGCCTTTAGGACCTCGCCCAGCGTCTCTAGGCAGGACGATTGCGGTGTAGCAGTGTTTTCGAACCTGGCAGGCACAGCGCCGTCCTTGCATGCACGGCGGCTTCGCCGCCCGTCGCGCCCAGACGGTCCCGTTGCTTCCGGTGGCGGGCCGGCGGCACTGGGGGCTGTTGGTCATGTTGCTGCCCGTCGCATGGATTGCAGTTTTCAGAGGGCATCACGACGGCCAACCAGGCCGCTCACGCCATCTGAGGACTCACAAAGCATCTGAACCCCGGCCTGGTGCACAAGCCCCAACTCCCCCCTCGCTTCCCTCCACCCCGCCCGCGCAGCCACCATGGCCGAGGGCAAGCAGCATCTGTCGATCGTGATCTGCGGTCACGTCGACTCCGGCAAGTCGACGACCACCGGTCGCCTGCTGTTCGAGCTGGGGGGTATCCCCGAGCGTGAGCTGGAGAAGCTCAAGGAGGAGGCCGCGGCGCTGGGCAAGCAGTCCTTCGCCTTTGCCTTCTACATGGACCGCCAGAAGGAGGAGCGCGAGCGCGGTGTGACCATCGCGTGCACCACCAAGGAGTTCTTCACCGAGAAGTGGCACTACACCATCATCGACGCCCCCGGTGAGCCAAGGGGGGGGGGGTGACGCGCTGGTGGAAGGGGGGTGTGTCTGATGTGGGGGAGGTGCGCCTTGCGTGCACAGATGGGGCGCGCATCAACCCGCCACGACCAGCCGCGCTCGGGCTGTGTGTGCCTGCGCACCTAGTGCGCTGGCCAGGAACTGGGCGCCCCATCCTCATGTCTGGAAGCATGCTTGTTGCTTTGCGCGTGCTGTGCGCGTGCTGTCGAAAGAGCCCCCCCTCAGCACTAGGCGGCCCAAGCTCACCCCTAGCT